GAGAGAGAGAGAGATACTGAGAGACAGAGAGAGAGAGAGAGGGAGAGAGAGAGAGATACTGAGAGACAGAGAGAGAGAGAGAGAGAGAGAGAGGGAGAGAGAGAGAGATACTGAGAGATAGAGAGATAGACAGAGAGGGAATATTTTTTGCTATAGGCATAGATGGCACAGGTTGTTCAGGTGAGAAATAGGATCCATTTAAGGCACCCTGGAATGTAGGACCAACACTGCCCCAAGCACCCCTACCTTCCACTCCAGAGCATCTCTCTCAGCCGCTCTACCCTCCGAGGCGGCAGCAGACAGCCCGGCTCCTTCCGCTTCCTGCTGTTCTTGCTTCAAGTGCTCGTGGAGGGTTAGGATGGCCGCCTTCAAGCCCACTAACAGGTCTTCCTTTTTCTGGTTTAAACTCAGAATCTGCTTTTCCATAGCTTCGATTTCTTCCTGCACAGAAAGCATTTACCCTGTTTTGGGAGATCCGAGGCCCGTGGAATCCCACAGGTACGGGTCAGGAGGCACAAGGTACAAAGGCTGTTCCAGGCCAGCGGGGGCGAACTCATGGCACACGGGCTGCAGTGGGCTGTTTCTGTCACTGAAAGCTCTAAAGAGTTCACCATCACTGGTCTGGGCTGTTTGGTTGGCAAAGCCAAGAGCCAGGCTCTGGTACGGAGGAGCACCTCCCTCTCTATCCGGGCCGCGCTTCCAAAGGACGCACAGGGAGCCTGTAGGCTGCAAGATGCCTTAGCCCCTCGGGAGACCTTACAGGTCAGAATTTCTGGGGGTTGAGTCCAAGTAGGGACATGTAACAACTCCCCAGGCGACAGAGGCGTGCAGCTGGTGGGAGCCGCTGCCCTGCGGCAGCCATGGACTGATGGGACTGGAATCCACGGGGCCAGTCCCGGGAACCTGCACACCAGCAGCACTGCACGGTGCTCGATGCACACCTTCCTTCTCCCCAGGAATTCTTCAGCAGACTAACATCTGGGAACCACTGAGAGAAAACAAAGTTAGAGGTCTCATTCTTGCATTATTGCCCTTGGAGACTTCCTCAGTGTTACGAAGCTCACTTACTCCTTCCACAGCCCAGACAACCTGGCAAGTGGGAACACACACACACGAACGAAGGGACCTTGCAGGGCAACGTACTGTGGCACGATGCACGGATGAGGCCAGGGCTCATAATGCCGCTTTTAACGTTTGTATTATTGATACATGCGGATAGCATTTTTTGTACATGGTTGGTATATACATGCCACAGTCTGTCCGTGAGGGTCATAGAATTACAGACCCCTAGATTCACAGGTGTCACGCAGCCTAACATCTTTCTCTCCGGCACCCTGGAGAGCAATCTTTCACCCTCTGCCAGAGCTCCTGCAGCTAGCGCTGATCAGGAGGAACTTTCCTGGAAATCTCATGTGTTCAAATTTGTTCTGGGCTGGGGTGTAGCACAGAGAGCTTGTTTAGCATGCACAAGGCCTGGGTCTGATCCCCACACTGCAAAACACCTTTGTGCCTTATTATACTTCCCGACTTGCAGACATGAGAGTCTTTGAGTTTTGCACATTCACAAAAGTAACACATTTCCATCTACACGTGAGAGTCCTAAAGCCCAGAGACAGAAGATGATCGTCCCAAAGCAGCAGCCAGCTGTGGCAGAGCACAGAAGTAGGGCTCCGCACAGCTCCCCGCGATGGCACACATTCCTACTCTGACATCCCTATTGTGTCTGAAGTCAAAATTCCCAGGAGTGCTGGTAGCAAGTGAATAACGACTGGGATTAAACTGCAGCTGCCTATCCTCTGTGTGCCACTTTCAATAAATACTAAATTCAGAGGGCAAGTGCTCCCTAACGGAAGTGGTATCACAGCCATTAGAATGAAGGGGAGCTGAGCAGCCTGCTGGGCTGCCCAGGCCGTGGAAGCACAGAGGGTACCAAGCAGCCATCAGCAGGTCCTTGGGGTTAATATATTAAAACATTTCTTGCCTCTTTCATTGTGTCGACATACATACTAATGGCACAAAAGTAATGGTAGGTAAGATTACTGGCATCTTATGTGAATCACCTATACTAATTACTACAGACAGAATTCCTCAGTAGGAATCTGGTCTCACTTAAGAACATCACTGAGTTAGAGACATATGCCTTCAATATTCTGGTGACAAAACAGGAAGTATGCACAAGGGGTGTCTGCTTGGTATCAAGATACAATGGTTGAGGAAAAGTACTTACATTACAGTACCTTTTTTTCACAGGGCACTATGTTCACAGGAAATAAAACAGCTGGTAAACTATGCTTACACACTTACATGTTATAAAGACTTTTTTTTTTTTTTTTTTTAAAAGCTGTGGGCCAGGGATTTAGCTCAGCGGCACAGCGCCTGCTTGGCAAGTGCAAGGTCCTGAGTTCAATTTCTGGTACCAAAGAGATAGCTGTTTCATATTGACTACTGAAACTTATCAACATTTGGACAATCTGCATAACTCAGTGAAACAGTATTTTCCAAATGATCAAGCTTGGTGGTGTAAGTCATGCATGATTAAATTTTCCATTCAGAGTGTAAGCTCTACCTATGGATTTTAATGTGAGAATATGACAAGTTCAGTGATATGGCTTTAGATTCATTTACAACTATCTTGTGAGTCACTTTCGTTTGTTGGTGCCAGTGTAGTTTGAAAGAACGCCCACAATTACTCAAAAGGGCTATTAAACTATTCCCCCGTTCCTGGTATATGTCTTTGGGAGATCAGATTTTTAGAAACTTTGAAAAAAACTTTGAATATAAAAATAAAAAATAAAACTTTGAATAAAACTGATACAATAGCATGCCAAGGTAGGTAAGCATCTAGCTGCCTTCTATCAAGCCAGACGTTAAAGGGATGTGCAAAAATGTAAATGTGTCACTCTTTGCACTGTTTTTTCTTTTGAGATATAGAATTACTTTAATGAGAATAATACTTCTATTAACATGGAATGGGTCTCAGATTGCTATTTTAAAATAAATCTTTTAACGTTTCTGAGTTTTAATTCCTAAAGTCTGCAGATAAAAGCACTCTGCAGACTGGAATCTTCAGTGTACACAGACACCTGGCATCTCCACGACACAGAGATGTTAGCATTGCGTCTGCACGAGGGATCCCCCACTTAACAGCCGTGTGACCCTGAACCTCTCTTTCTTCCACCCTAAGACCCTTGCCATGGTCTCTCTGCAGGTGGCTGAGAATCATATCAACTACCTGCCCGCATCAACCGCATGGAAAGAAAATCCTCAGCTCTCTATAATCCTTGGTACATAGTCAGGTTTTTAATACAGAAGTTCTGATTCAAAAGCAAACTAGAAGAAATCCTAGCAATAATAGAGTATTAATAGGCAAATCGGTATACCTAGGTACACTGGACACTGGGCATTACGGCAAATGAAAATACAGCGTGGAACAAAAACCCTCCATCATAATGGCACCAGAGTCGTATTATTTCCAGTGTTTTGTCTGTTTGTTTGTTTGTTTTGGTACTGGGAATCAAACTCAGGACCTTGAGCTTGCCAGGCAGGCGCTTGTGCCACTGAGCTATATCCCTGGCCCTCATATTACTCTGTAAGCCCAGCCTGCCCTCACTGCCTGAGTCCTATCCCAAAACAACTAGCTGGGGAGTCAGATGACCCAAACATCCCATGTTACATCAGCCTCTGTGGCACAGAGTGTAGAGTCAAATGCACCAGGCTGAGACTGCAGGCCTTGAAAAGCTCCTCACTAAAGAAGCAGATGCAAGGGGCTGCGGATACAGCTCAGCGGCACAAGCGCCTGCCTGGCAAGCGCAAGGTCCTGAGTTCGATTCCCGGTACCAATAAAAAAAAGATCCAGAGGCAAATAAGAAGCAGATGCAGCAGCCCCGGTGCAGGTTCCGGTGGGAACCGTGCAGCCCGCGTTTCAGCGTGTTTTAATAACGACACCGTGTAGTCCCCTAGTCCATGAACAGGAACGGAAAGTAAACACACACTGAACAGGTTCAATCAAAAACAGAAGCTGGATGTCAGCCTGCAGAACGACCTGGGCTTCTCGACTCCAAGGGACTCACAAGTGATGACTACGTGAGCTGGTGGATGGGCGAAACGTACCTGTACTGCCGGCAGGTCGGTGGCCTGGTCCGGTGACGTGTGTTCAAGGGAGAACTCAGCTGAATAATCACTTATGATCTGCTTCAGATTTTCTGTTTCTTCATCACATTCACTAGTCTGTTTTATGACAATCTGTAAAATAACACCCCCCCAAAGAAGAACAGCTGTCAGGAGGTAAGGACTAAGTTAACTATCTATCTTCACTACAAGTTCCAGTCAAATGAGGAAAACATGCATCCATACAGCTTTCAATTCTAAATGTATTTCTGTTATATTCTAAATATTAGCTATATTTAAATTCTAAGTACAGAGAACAAACTTTGCAGAGCTGGCATCTGACCTTCTCGCTTTACTAAATACCAGGGCACCTTGGTAGGGCTTGGAGTACAGGTCCAGTTAGATCCACCTTGACTCAAAGTGTGCTTGGCCTAGTGGGCTTCTCCCCGAAGTGTTTTATGGGATGTTAACATCAGGTTTCTAGTCTTATGAAGTTACCGGGACGTTGCACTCACCACTTGAGACAGCCCATGTGGGGTTTTCCACAGAGAAAGGTGGCGTGCTGGATGCACAATGCAGAGGGCCTGTGATTCGAGCAATGATGAATTTCCCCAGTACATACACATCCTCACCTGGCGCCCCTTCGAATCTGGGATGTGCGTTTCATCAGTAAAAAAGCCGAAGGTTCCAGAGCAGGCTGAGTTTGCAGAATAAGGCAAAACTAGGCAGAAGAGTGTGCGGAGTGTGACGGCGGGAAAGCTGGGCTATGTGAAGGGAGCTATTTGTGGACCAAGTGATACAATCAAAGGAAAGATAAATGGACTTGAAAGCACATCTAGATACTTCTTTGGTTTGCTTAATAATAAAGCAAGAATGCCTTTGAAACTACAAAGATTTTGGCCAACGTGTACTGCTTCCTTGTATTTTCTTTAATATTTAACCCTAATTTTAGCTGTAGGTTGGAAATGAATAACTATGTTCTCTGCACACACCAATTCCTCAGCCCTCAACGACAAACTACCCTGTTACTCCCCTGCAAAAGTAATTTGTCATATTTCCCACAATGAGAGCACTTATAACATGTAACGTAGGAATTAAAGGAAAAAGGTACCATAGTCTAGTGACTTTCATTACTACTGGCTTACTTTGCTTTGAAATAGATTGGGGGACATCTAATTTTACCAGCACTCTAGGAGGAAAACTTTTAGGAGCACAGTTTGATATCTAACTTGGTAAAATCATCTTCTAGCCTTCCCTTTTCCTCTTGTGAAAAAGCTACATTTAAGGCACAGTTAGGGCTGCTATTTTCTTTCCTGACCGAGAGACCTATGGGGCACCAAAAGATTAAAAATAATATATCAAATTTGGTTTTTTTTTTCTTCTCTTCATGCAGTATTAAAAAAATCATACATTAAGTGCGAGGTCTCTTTTCTCTCTGACCAGAGTTGATCGGTACCCAGCCCAGAGAGGATGTAAGAGTCAAGACCTAGACCAGGGAGTACAGTTTCTCCGCAACAGAGAACAGAGTGGCCTCTGAAATGTGAATGGAATCGAAGACTTAGGAAAGCACAGTTTTCACAGGCAGGGTGCAGGCTGCCTACCAAGAGGGTGGAAGGTCTGAGAAACTGACGGCCCTTCCAGCAATTCTGTGTTCTTGTGGGAGTGGCTGCTGACCAAGGAACACAAACTAAATACGAAAGATAATTCTTAATTGGGGCGGGGGGTGTATCTGGGGAGAGGCTGAACAGTAACCCTAGGGGTTCAGAAACTCAAATTCCTCTCTGATTTGGGTAAGAATTAGCCTCTGCCCTAGGTAACTCTGCAGCCTCTCAGCAAGCCACTCACCCCTCCTGCACCAGCCTCCGATCCTCCCCCCGCCAGCACACGCTGGAGAACAGGATGAGCTGGGCCGCGGGGAGGACTGAGATTATTATGCAATGATTACTTTATAGATCGGCCGGCCTCCTGAGACTGTACGCCTTGCCCGGGTTTGAATCCTTTCCCAGAGGGTTTTACCCTTGTAGTACTTTAATGGCTGCAGGACAGAATTAAATCAGCCATAACTATGCTTTCATATCTTCAAGCACAGCAAGGCTTAGATCTGAGAAGGAAATAACCTTAGCCCTGTATGAGCAAGAAGGCAGCCTTTTCTGTCAAATGCCATCTCCGGGATAATAATTTCTTTCGATGGAAACTGAAACAAGCCCAGCTTTTCTGAACATCTTCACCCAGTAAATGGGTTGTCATCACACACTGCTCACCTTTAGTAACTCATTTTGTTCCTGAGTCACACTTTCCAAGAGCTTTACGTCCTGTAAAAGCTGACTTGTCCTCTGAAACACGGGCAGTGGGTTCATCTCCGGCTGCGGCAGCCTCAGCTCCACTCGGTAAGACACTATCTCAGCAATGGTCTTCTTCATGGGACGGAGATTCTCGAGTATGACCTTAGCGATGTAAGAGAAGAATGGTACGCAATTAGGATTAAAAAAAAAATCCTTAGGCTATTGCTAAGTTTAAGTGTCCAAAGGAAAAGATTATACAATTCAGTCTATAGTTTCACTTCTTGAAACACGTCTTTGCCTCTGAATGAAAAGCACTGGTTCACTCTCGGGATGAGGTTCAAGAAAGAATGCCCCGGGCAAGAGTGGCACCAGCCCCGGCTTACGCACCCGGAAAACCTTTCTTCCTTCTCTCCCTCTCCTGAGAAGCGCTGTTGTTCAGCTTCCTACATTGTCTGTCACCGGGCAGTGGGCTACGTTAAGGGCAGGTACAACATCTCACTTTCAAAGCAACTGCACCTAGCACAGCGCTTCCTACAAAATATGCTCAAAATACACTTATTGAACTGTCTTGCTAAATTTCGTGAGTCCCAAGAGTATAGCGATATTTTGCTTTAATAACACCTGGTTCACAGCATCTGGGCTTACTAATAAATTAGATGATTCAACCTCACTAAACACTTCATATGTGTAATTTCATTCACTACCCACACCATCCTGAGAGGCGAAAGCACTCTAACTTGTATTTCACAGGTGAAGAAAGCAGGTTCCCAGAAGTTAGAAGACCCAAGAAAAGTTAGACTGCAACAGGCAGAGGAGGGATTAGAACTCAGACCTACTTGGTCCTGAAACACACATCTCAGCCGCTAGGCCAAGAGAAAACTGATGCTGGTCTGCTGTTTACTACATGTCAGCGAGGGGATCTATATACGGTGTAACTGACCAGTGTAACACCACGATAGCAATGCACAGATATGAAAAACAACCCACCGAAAATATGTACTCAAAGTCGCACGGCCAATAGCAGCGTCACTGGGACCAAAACCTACTTCAGAGTAACTCAGGAGCTCAAGCTCTTGGGTTTGACTTGAAAGCAAAACTTAAATGAAAAAGTAACCTATAGGAAAATTATCTTCACTTAACAGTGTTATGAATATTATTATTCACTCATTTTTTTTTCTGATTTTTTGAGACAGGGTCTCACTGTATGGTTCAGACCTGCCTTGAGTTCATGATGTAGTCCAGGCTGGCCTTGAACTCGCAGCGATCTTCCTGTCTCAGCCTCGCAAGTGCTGGGATTACAGGCGTGTGCCACCACACCTGGCCTCATTCGTACCTATTTTCTAACTTTATTTTGCCATTATTCTAGCAGACTAATATTTTGGGGGTTGGAGGTGTGGCACAATGGTAGAGCACTTACCTAGTATGTGTGAGCCCTGGGTTTGATCTCCAGCATCACAAAGCAATTCTAATACTCTGTATCACGTTATTATTACATATTTTTCAACAGACATAGTAGTACTATGAGAAAATACTTCTAGTAATGGTCCATGCTTACCTCCCCATGTTTAAGATGTTCTTCAGGTGAAAAGTCAAATATTTCTTTTGATAGCAGGATAGTTTTAATTTTTGAAACTTTTTTCTCCATTGATTTTACTTCAGATTCAATAGCAACCACATCCTAGAATTTGAGAAAGAACACACTCATCCAACATGCCCTATATCCCTAATCTATAAAACACTATTTAGTGCCTTTAATTCTATTCTCGTATTTGACCACAGAACATCTGAAACTTAACACGTCTTAAAGATGAACCCAATCAAGGGCTACACAGATAAGATGCTTTCCACTGTTTCTTTTTTTTTTCGTCCTTTTGAGACAGGGTCTCGCTATGTAGTTCAGGTTGGCCTTGAGCTCACTTTGTAGACCAGGCTGATCTCAAACTCACAGCAATCCTCCTGCCTCAGCCTCTTGAGTGCTGGGATTACAGGTATGGGCCACCACGCCCGGCTTACTTTCCATGGTTTTCAATAAAAATGCTTTTTCACTCTAACAGCATACCTGACCACGAAGCACTGCTTGTGCCTTGCTGAGTTAAAGAAAATCACCGCGAATTTTCAATTACTGTGAGAACAAAGCTAGCAGGCACCCAAACTCATTAATAAACTCCCAACTACCTACAATCTTTTAAAATTTATCTTTGAAATGTGTTTAGACACTTGAAGATAAGCAGAGTCTGACATTTTAAAAACTCCCATAGTTTCAGTAAAACGATAGTCACCCTTGAGAAACTAACCAAGGAGCTGGGAGACCGAGAGGGTTTCTCATCACCCCCGGTAAGCTTCTGCCAAGCAGAATGCCACTAAATTATTTTATAACCCACTCAGATTAATTTCAACAATAGACCATTTGCCCAGTGGTTATTTTTTTTATTAACACTGACATCCAGAACTTGGCTAAGAACTTTAAAGTAAAAAATGCTGCAAAAATACGGTGAAATATGTGCTGCGGAACCCACCCACTGGAGACCGAAGCCCACAGCTGTCAGAGAAACCTTCACATCTCGACTTTGGAGGTCGGGGGAGAGGCACCAAAGCCCTGGGTGGTACAGTAATAACGAAGATCATAAAAACATAAAAATTGAATGAAGGTTTAAAATTATAGCAGTTTGGAGCCATTTGCTATAAGGAAAGGCAGAATTTTATGGGACCCTAAGTAAACAAAGCTGTAAGGACAGTGACTTAACAGATGTATCTCCAAATAATGGCAAAAAGTTACATTACACTGAACCTGTTTTCTGCACCTACTATTTAAGGAGGTATTTATAATTATACAATGTATTTCAGGATAATTTCCATCAGAAATTACAGAAGCTGTTTAAAAACTTCGGGGAATAGGTGTTAGTGACCAAGAATTTACTTCCATAATTATTATTTCTTAAGAGCAAGGTACAGGGAATGTCCAAAAGGTAACTAATTAAGGACTAAGTATAACTGCTTTCACTGGGTGACAATGTTTAAGTGAATGCCTCATATATTTCAAGCAACAATAAAACTACTTAAAAATCCTGGGGCAAGGCTGCATACGGCTTGACAAGCACACGCAAGGCCCTGGGTTTTATGCCCAGCAACCCCCTCCCCCCAAATAATCCAGTGGCTGACACAGCAGCCCCTCCATAAATATTGACAGATTGACTGCAGCACTGCTATGGAACCAAAGGCCTCCAGCTAGGTTAGGCAAGGACTCTACCACCGAGCTACATCCCCAGTAGCCCCCCTTTCCCGGTAATTAGTGCTTCTAAATTAACAGTACTGCTCCTCTGACAAAGAGAAAACAATGAGCTTATCTGATCTGTTTTTTGGTTACAGTGATACTATAGGATCCAGAGTGAAAAGAATGCAAATGAAAAATGTGGCCGCTTAATGTACACTCACGTAATTACACCGTGATTGATATGTCTCTAATTTGCCAAATAAAATATAAATTAACAGTGAGAAATCTCATCTTTATGGTACAAACTTACATCAGCTACTCGCTGGATATGTGGAAGGCTTTCCATTATTTGTTGCTGTAAAGCTGCCACTTGACTACTTAATTCTTGTATGGACTGTATTAAATTGTCCGTTTCAAAAATGATTGACAAATCTTCTAGATCCGTGAAAACTGAATGTAAAAGATTGTGCTTCTGCTCAGAATCTTCCAGAGCCATCTAGATAAACAAGAGAGAGGGAGACAGAAAAACATCAAGATACTGAAACAAGTTGATTAAAATTTAAATCAGAGAAAATTTTAATTTGTGACCATTTCAAACTCCTGGTCATTTCAATTTGCATAATGAAAACACAGGGGGAGTAGATGACTTATCTGAAAGTCTTGGTACTGAGAGAGTCGTGGGCTTTAGAGTTCTTCAGATTTTGGAACAGCTGCATATATGTAATAAAATATGTTGAGGACCGGTCCCAAGTGTAAAGACAAACTTCACTCACACAACATACGTACTTAGACACACCATCTGAAGGTAGCGTGACACAGCACTTTAGTGTACTTGTATTTGGACTGTGACCATCAGTGAGGGGGGTTTCCCGCTTGTGTATCTGGTGGGCCACTCAAAAAAGTTTCAGCTTTTGGAGCTTTTCAAATTTTAGATTTTCAGGCAACTCGTTTGGGGCTCCTCCTGTCTCTCAGGAACTATTCCTATTCCCCATTCCTACTCCCCCCAAAATTTTCCTACTCTTTAAAAAAGAAAACAAGTCTCAGATTTTCAAGTTATGGATGCTCAACCTCTAATAAGTGTATTTATTTGGTCTTCATCCTGACTTCCTAGCAGAAAGCTTCTAAAACATTTCCTGAGTGACACAAGTAAGAAGAGCATTTTTATTTGTGCATAAAAAGCCCTTTAAAACATGTATAACTTTCAAACTTAGGGTTTTATTTCTCTTTATCCTTCCTTTTTCTTCCCCAATGTTGAAGATCTCTGAATAGAAATTTATAAGCTGTTTCTAAGATTCATATGGAAATACAAAGAGTAAGATCAGCCAAAACAAATTTGAAAAAGAACAAAATTGTGGAATTTATGTTATTGGATTTCAAAATTTACTATAAAGCTATCAGAATCAAGACTGTCATAATGATAAATGAACAGATCAACAGAACAGAAGATATAACCCAAAAATAGAACCACATCTATGAGATCAATTATTTTCAAAAAGATGTCAAAGTAATTCCCTGGTGAAAGTCTTTTCAGTAAATGGTGCTGGAACAATTTGGTAATAATTTCTGTGGGAAAAAATGAATGTTGACCCTTGATTCACACCATACCTAACAATCACTTGGATAATAGACTCAGAAGTAAGAGTTAATACTATGGAATTTGTAGAAGATAGTAAGAACTCTACGACACTGGATTAATGCTTTCTTAGATACAGCACAAAAAGTAACATGTAAAAGAAAATACTGTAAGTCACATTATCACCAAATATTGTAAATTACATATATGTCACAAAAATGATTTTAAGAATGTTTTAAAAATAATTCTTACAACTCAATGATAACATAAGCAGCACAATTTTAAAATGCACCAGAAATTGGACACTTCACAAAGAAGTATACAAATCCCAAGTAAGAATGGTGCTATCTCGGTTCACAAACTTTATTCTCTCCATGATTGTGGTTGCAAACCAAACCAAATTGCATCAGAACAGAATCAAATTTCTCCGTAAGGCCAACACTGAACCTAACCACTGAATGTCATTCAGCTCTCATCCACTTTGGTTTGAGACCAGAATCATGGGAAGAATCAAGTTCATGAACTAAGGTACCACTGAATATGAATAAAGTTTCAAAATCATTAGTTACTAGGGAAATGCCATTTAGACCACAGTAGAACACATCACTAAAGTGGTTAAAATTGAAAAGACAATATCAAGTGCTGATGAAAATACGGAGCAATTAGAACTCACTTTGCTGGCAAGAATTAAAAATAACACTCAATCTTGGAGAATAATTGGCAATTTTTATTTAATTAACTTACCAAAAATGTCACCAATCCTACTCTTAGGTATTTACTCATTGAAATGAAAAACTATCACCACAGAAATATTTGTGGCCACACAAACTTGTGATTACAACAATTTCTGATCAAGCTACAGCTTTATCAAAAGTCACCCAGCTACACACTAAAAACGGGTGCATTTAAGTACATGTAAATCACACTAAAACAAAGTGGATTTAAAATCAAGTTAGCTTACTAGTTTTACAAAGACAATTTATGTCTTAATGACTCAATTACAACAGCGGTATTTGTGAAATCATCTTTATACTATGCAAACTTATTTTAATGAATGCAATCCAGTTACAGTATAATTAAAACAAACTTTTAAAAAGCTTAGCTGAGTATTCTGATAGCTACTTGGCAAAGCCAGAAAATGGAAAGGAGTACTGAGTGGGACAATTATTTTCATCATAAGCACAAATGAGATTTTCACCCAGAACTGGTTCTGCAGGAGTTACTTATTGAGGATTTGCTAGAATCCATTCTGTGGGAAATAAACCTGTATCTCTGCTCAGCTTGAGCTCATAAATGAAGTCCAGCAACTTAGCAAGTCCTCAACAGTTACAGTGCCGCTTTCGTACTTAAACATTTGCCTCACTGGAAAGGAGTGCTTGTCTAGCTGCTTTCCTGAGTTGATATTAGCAGTGCTTAAAAAATTTTTTTTGGAGACAAGGTCTTGCTGTGCAGTTCAGGCTGGCCTTGAGCTCACTTTGTAGCCCAGGCTGGCCTTGAACTGTGTTTACATTTTTAATGCGTTTGAGAGGGAAAAAGAAGCATCATTCCTTTCTCCTGACCCGGCAAATTCCTCAAAAATGCTGAATCATAAACGCATTTAAAAATACAAAGATGACAAGTCCTGGGGAAGCGCGGAGCCAACCCAAGGTATAGGGGTGGGGTGGGGGTCACAGCAAGAGTAAAAAATGAGCAAATGGATGAAAATGCAGTATCTTGACAACTATTACCATAGGACAACAACAGGCCACCGAATCTCAAACATCAGGGAGGTCTGAAGGCAGCCACTCACTCAGGAACACACTGTGCTATTCTAAAGATACAGACTTGGACCCTCGTTGAGGTGATTCCTGTAAAGGTTACTGTAAAACATTTCCTGGAGAATTCTTTCTCATGGCTGAACAGTGGGAGAGAAGGAAAGCACACCTCCGAACCATCCCAGAAGTCACGGCTCCCTGAGGAAAGTAAGTCCACTTGGCTCTATAAGCTGGCATGCAGCCAGGGCCCCTGAGGAGCCCCAGAGGCACAGGGAGTTAGAATCACAGCATGTCAAAACTGGAAGGGATTGGGAGATTGGATTTCTACTTCTGTGCAACTAACTGCCACCAATATGGCTGCTTTAAAAAAAATAGTACGAGCAGGTGTGTTCTTGGGTCAGGAGTCCGGCCCAGTTTGGTGGGTCTTCTGCTCAGGGTGCCGACAGACTGAACCACGAAGCCATCTGCAGCTGCAGGGTCTCTCCCAAGCTCCTTTTGCTTGTCCGTAGAATTCAGCAGCAAGGGCTGAGGTCCCTGTTTTCTTGCTGGCTGGTGGCATGGGCTGCTCTCGGCATAGAGTGAACCCCATGGCCCTCTCACAGGACGGCAGCTCAGCCCTTCCATCCAGGAGTACCTATGATTTGCTACTAGGGCTTCTCGTAATCAGGTGATGGTGCATTCGGGAGAACTGCTGTCCCATTACCGTAAGCCATGTAAGATAACCCGATCAACGCAACGGTACACCTCCATCCCTGCCTGTACTCTGGGGTATAAAGGTCACATATACCAAGGAATGAGAACACTGGGGATCACAGTAGACTTCCGTGGCCCCAAACCATCAAAGCCATCCAGTGCAGCCTTCTCACTTCACAGATTGGGAAACTGAGGCCCACAGAAGACAGAGGATAAATTATCCAAAAAATAAGTAGGGAGTAGGACAGAGAGAACCAGATCTCAGTCTCTAGGATTCCTATCTGGCGCCTGCCACTGTCCCAAGCTTCCCTCTGCTTCTTGGCACGACTAGAAGTAACCTTGTTTGGGAGTAAGAAGAGGAGAAAAAGATGGCGGCCATCGGCTACGCAATGCGCAGGTCCCCACAGGCGCGGGGAACCTCAGCACGCACTCACCTGCAGGGCGCTGGCGTGCTGACTCAGGGTCCTAGATGAGTCACAGTGAGCAGGACTGGCCAGCAAACGACGGGTATTTTCTATCCAGGCCTCAGTGCTCTTCAGGAGGTCACTGTACTCCTCCATCTTCACCGTGGCCTGGGAGAGACAGGGTGGCAAGCTTAGTAAGCAGCTGGTTACCAGAGGCGAACCAGTCCGGATGAGGAGTTAGTTGCCTTCTAGGAATCCTCAGCCGGGGCTGAGGATCCTGGGCCATCTGCTCCAGCTGAAGGTCCTTCCAACACTTAAGACTGACCTTGCCCAGAGGGGAAAGGGATTTAAGAAGTTCTACCGCAGCACCACGGGCCTCAGCAAGGGCCCCACATTAGCTCTACAACTAGTCTAGCTCCCAGTCCCTCTTCATTCTAGGCCGGACTCAACCTGCCTCTTCTGTTCAGGACCCTGCGCTGTAACATCCCATTTCTTGTATGACTAGTATCTTGCCCTTTCCTGATTACACTCACAATGTACCAAACCACGGCCCCTACTTAGCAAAGAGGCAGAGGGGGGCCCTGTTCCCACACCGCAATCCTTCTCTTGGTCATCCCCCCAACCCCGGACTCCAGAGAGTGCCTGCCCTAAGTCCCCGCCACTGGTCTTCAGCTGCCTGTCGGAACGCCGCCACTACCTGGGCTCCTGCTGTGGGCTGACTTTGGGATCTGAGTTAGTGCCTGCCCACTCAGACGTCCAGCTTGTACCAGCACTGGAGTGCTGTACCCTCAAAGCTTACCTGAAGCTACTGCGTTCTATAATTGGCAACTTGAGGGAAGCTTGCTACCTCTGAATACAGGTATTTTTGTTTTATTTTAAGCCGTCTCAGTACTATGTGACTAGCATGTGCCTCTGCCCCACCTTGTTTAACTGGGAGGTTCTGGATTCGGCTCTCTGTGACACTTGCTGACACTTCTGGAAAGGAATCATCAGGTTGTCCATCCATTCCTGAGCCTGTCCTGGGTCCTGCTCAACGATGTCCTGAACTTCAGAATCCAGCTCATTTAGCTTGGAATGCCAGAGATCTAACTCATCCCACATTTTCTGGAGAAGAAAATTGTTAGTCAGGCTGAATGAAGATGTCCAGGTGGATGCAGGTAACTCCTAGTTTTCACATGGTATTTGCATTTGGAAATGATGATCAAAACAACATTGCACGCATACTTACATTTAGCAACCATTTCTGACCTAAACTGAAAAGTAATTTTTTTCTGAGTTCTCCTAACTGTAACTGTATTCATCTCAGTATAAATTGGCTGCAGGGGAACAGAAAGACCTGGACATACTTCAGAGATGAATGACAGCAAACAAGGTCGATACAGCCCTAACCTTCCAAGAGCTATGAAGTAATAAACATTACGTTTAAAAAGGGCTTTCAAGGGAGCATGGTGCTGCACACCTGTATTCCCAGCACTCAGAATGCTGAGGCAGGAGGACTGTGTGAGCTCAGGAATTCAAAATCAACCTGGATAACATAGCAAGACCTTGTGAACAAAATAAAATAATATAAAAGCACTGGTTAGCCGGGCATGGTGGTTCATGCCTGTAATCCCAGCACTTGGTAGGCTGAGGCAGGAGGATCGTTGTGAATTTGAGACCAGCCTGGGCTACAAAGTGAGCTCAAGGCCAACCTGAACTGCATAGCGAGACCCTGTCTCAAAAAGGTTGCCACAAATAAAATAAAATTTTAAAAAGTGTTGGTTGTATTTTATATATAAATATTTTATATGGGAAACAATTTTATTAAATATGAAAATAAAATTAACAGCAAAAAGCATTTGTTTACTCAGAATTAACATAGATGCAAAAAATCTAGCTGCAGGCTGTTAGTGGCAGCTGCCTTTGACTCAAAACTACGTAATAGATTGGCTTCCACTTCAAACTTGTCGAAGGTAAAATACTCAAATCTTAGTATTTGTTTAATAATTTTGAGGAACAGGAAAATTTGACTTGCTAAGTAGGCTCTTCTACATAAGAGCCAAGACTGTATCTAATAGTGAGCTACATTCATTATTAAAAGTAGTGACCTATTTTTAGAAGTTCCCAATTATATCAGTGTAATTTCCTTGAAATGTAGATTAAATCAGAACCCATATGCCAGCATCTACTTAGGAGTTCAGAGGTAGAACATTATGCAGCTGTACATTTTGACTAAAGATTTCACTTTGTAAATAAGGAGGGGAAGAGGAGTTGGAGGGGATGGGGAATGGGAAAAAGAGATGTACAGGTACAAATTCCCTATGATGAACGTGACCATTATGTACATCTAAAACGTACCAGTAAGAAAAACAAAACAAAACAGAAAACCCATGATTTTATGTATTTCCTAAAACGTTTTTAGGAAAATCAATTTGGATTTTTTTATTTTCCTTTTTATCACCTTGGGAATCTAAAGAAACACTGTTCATACATTTCCTGCTCTACTGCCTTATTTTTATATCAGCCTTCCCAAGGTAGGATTCTCACTGTCCGTTGTTTACGGAAAACCCAGGAAGAGGCCTTCAAAGCAACCTCTCCCTCTGGCCGGTAGGGGGCCTCTCCTACCGGCCTCTGGGGCTCTAACTTAGGCTCCCAGGGCTTCGGATTAAGTCACAAATTCACCAGGTGATGACTGAGGTCAGGAGGAGGAGTGGACCCAGAATACTACAAGGTGAAGTGAGTTAAAGGAGGGTGTTACCTTTTGAATTTCTTGGGCTTTCTCAATGCTTTTGCTTTTCTGCTGCAACATTTTTTCAACCTGCTGAAGCCCGCTGTTGATTTCCTCTATTTTCCGGCCCATCACACAGGATGGCGAGCTCTTCAAGCCTTCACCGCTTATCTGCTCCAAACAGGAGGGTCACAGGTGGGTTAGAGAGGCTCTCTCCTCCAGGGTTCAAACAATGAAAGTGGACCTCGCTGCTCTTACTTGTAAAAATGTTTAAGGTCTGTGGGAAAAGCGTCCCAAGCCATACTGTGTAATGCCTTGGTGAGAAGCTAGATCAGCCTCTAATAAATGGCAGCTGCATTTACCTGACCTAACTATAATCCAGAAATAAAGTGATTAATGTAAATAACAAAAATTCTGTGCTGTGTTGGGCAAAGCTACCGAGTGGCCTCTTTGAAACATACCTCTATGGATCCAGTGATATGCAAGAATTCCTGTGGGATAAATCATTTATTACATGATCTGTCCATTTTACGAGAAAATTCTCTGCACAGATCCGTTTCCAATAAAACGAGACATATTCTCAAGGCAATTTAAAAAACAAAATGTAATTTCCATCTTAATATTCATCTGGGTAAAACAATCTTCTAAATGTATTCCTTGAGGATGTAAGGCTTAGGTTTTCTGTGTGTGACTATTTCTCATATGTATTTTCCCAGCAACCAGAAATCTAGCTGCTGGGCAGTTTAACTTTAGAAAAAAAAAAGCAATGTACCAATGTATCACTTTGCCAAATACTTGATTAGTTTGTGCTTTTTCTTTTTAAAGCTATGTTGATAGGCTTTCTCAAAGCAGCACTAAATAACCAAATAACACTGTACACTTTTGTAGAATCCTTTTAATCCTCATGCTATCTGCACAACCATGGAGATTAACAGTGTCCCATGCAGATAAGCACACAGCTGCAGGAACTCAAGCACACTGAGTGCTGGAGCCGAGGTCACACACACCAAGGCAGGGACTGAACTTGGCCTGAGAAGACCGCAACTCCCCAGACTGCATTTCAGGGTCTAGTCCCGTCAGGCTGTTGATTCTTTCCTATCATGTTTTCATTTCACATACCACACCACCAGTCAAGGTTATTTTTTTCAATCTCACTTTGATCCTGTATTATTTGTTTCTTACAGGCGGTATAACAAGCACAAAATGAAGCCTTCTGATATTTAGGGCAGTAACTCTACAGATACAAATGCAAACCATTTAGTTACATTAGCAGAGATCAGGATTTGTGGGGACTAACCATCTGAATATACACAATGATACTGTGTCTGCTGCCCAGACCCTTGAACTTCCTTAAGACCAATTATACATACGAAAAGCCAGTTGCTATTTGTTACAAATACGTAAGTTCACTGTGGAAATGATCAACTCCAATGGGAAAGGCTGGTTACTACTAATTTACTTTGTAGGACTTTTTACACAAAGTATTCGTAAGAATAACGTTTAGTTTTTCTCACTACATTTCGTAGCCTCTTAAAACCAAAACTAAATGTACACAATTCTCAACAAAGTATCTAACAGGTTTTCTTATGTGTAAATCAAAAAACATTTGTTATATCAGGTAACTCATTTTTAACAGGTTTTCCTAAGAAATCTGTCATATAAGTAAGTGACAAGATTCTATCAACAAGCACCGGGCCTGGTTGCACACGCCTGTAATCCCAGTACTTGGGAGGCTGAGGCAGGAGGATTGGTGTGAGTTTGAGACCAGCCCGGGCTACAAAGTGAGCTCAAGGCCAGCCTGAACTGCATAGCAAGACCCTGCCTAAAAAAAAAAAAAAAAAAGATTCTATCAACTAGGTCTGAAACATGGTTTTTGGTGTGTGGACTAAAAGATCTGTATTGTTTCTCAAGCTGTAAGTACTCTGAGCTTCAAAAAGCAAGATAAAAATCCTTCTATGGCTGCTGAACAAAACAAAATTTTATTCCATTGGGTTTGGGTTGCCTGTTTAATATTTCAATAACTTGGTCTTACTAAATACCTCTGTCTTCAGTACTACAATATATTCCTACCCTTGTTCAAATCTGTATTCTTGAGTATAAAGATCTGCCCAGGTATGTTTTGTGAGAATTCTGTTAGTATCATAATTAGACAGACATTATAAGCTAAGTATTATTTCTGTATTATAAGTTATGTATTATTTCAACTCGTGAGTTGTGAAATTGGTATTCTTATTGCCCTTAGTTATAATTTCCAAATGTTTCAGGGAATGTATTTTAAAACATGTCCAAAAATGTTTAAGTTTCTGCAGTGAAAATGATACTAATAATCCAGTAAAAGGTAATGTATAACTCTTTTAAATGGGAGAAAAGAAAAACTAAGCATGCAGACAACTAAAATCTAATATTCTGTTATCTGTGTCACTTACTTAGGGTACCTTTATTTCAGCATTCAATGCAAAAACATATCATTTAACAAAACTCTATAAAACCAGCCAGAGCTGAAATCAGGGCAAATGCAAAAGTAACATTAAAAGACATTTCTTCTTTAGTTATCCAACTCCGACAATAACAACCTGAGCACACACAGTGTTACCTTCTCATCTACGTCCTCCAGCGCCTTCCTGCAACCCTCCAGCTGGGACTCAAGCTCAGCAGGGACTATGGTGTACATCTCGGAATACTTGATGCGCAGCTTTTCCATAATATTTCCAAAAGTTAGCTTCCCTTTCTCAACAAAGCTTTGCAGCTCCTAAAAACAAGAGAGTTTCCATACTCCCGGGACTGGGGAAAAGGTTTAACTCTAAAAGGTGAAAGCGACTTTCCAGCACGTCCTCATGATCCAAATAAGCAAACCGTGCACCACAAAACCTCACTATTGATACAAGCTGATTAACCCTGAGAGATACCCCGTTGAGTCAGATGATACTTTCTAATTTGTAAGAATTAAACTTGATATCTCTTTGCTGTGTCAAACCATTGTTGCAAAAAAGGACATTACAACATCCCCCCTGCTTCTAAAGTGCCTCCAGTTTTAACTGTATCTCAGCCACATCCTGATCTAAAAAGCTACATGTGGCAGAAAGTTTCAAAGCAGTTTTATGGTGTTGTTATTAACTTGTTGCTATTTCTCCTTCTTCCCACATTATCATCACAATGAGTCAAGGCCGCTAAAAGCTCAATGCTTGAAGCAAAAGTGTCTGTTTCAGGTAATTAGCCAGCCTGGCCGAGTTCAGCTCCTTTCAAAAGGGAGAGTTCCAGTTCCACGCAAAGAATGTAGGTTTTAGGAGATAAAAAGAACTGTGAACAAACAGTCCATTGGTTGTGGCCTAGAAATAAAATCTGATCTATGTACTCCTGCAGTAATTATATAAAGGAGAAACTCATTGGTTTGGGAAAGTTTCCCAAAGATCAAGTGGAAAAATACTTCTTGACTTTCTTGTGGCTTTTTTGCTGTTTGTTTTGTGTGTACAGCAGCCGTTCGGAGCATTATTTGTGTTCAGGGAATGAGTCACGACGCTAAAGAATGATTACAATTTGAAATGGCTCTGTGATGCGTCACTGCTTTCTCTTTTATGAACAAGCCTGGGAAGGCAACAGTACAGCACAGCGCCATTCAGACCCAGGTGGGGCTGGAGGCACGAGTGTCATCTGTCACCCACGCCCACGCCGGGAGGAAAGACCTCCATTTACAGTGTGACTGCAGGACTGCGCAGAAGTTTCTTTTACAATGAATAACCAAGAGCTCTGGCTCACAGCAGCACAAGGGTTTCTTTTTTTTTTTTGAGATGGTCTCGCTATGCAGTTCAGGCTGGCCTTGAGCTCACTTTGTAGCCCAGGCTGGCCTCGAACTCGCAATGATCTTCCTGCCTCAGCCTCCAAGTGCAGGGATTACAGGCATGTGCCACCACACCCGGCAGCACATGGGTTTTAAATACATCGCCAAATGTCATTTTTTACCACTACCATTGAACTGGAAGGACAGAAGAGATCATTCTGAAGAAATAAGTTCCCTAAGGACCCTCCCTGGGTCCACAGCCCTGATCAGAGGTAAGACATCACGCCCGACTAGAGGAGGCGGCTGACAGGGCACTCATGAGGCTCTGATGCCCCTGTGCGCGCAACACACCTAACGCTTGGCTGAGAAAGGTCTGTTAGCTCCAGACTTGCCCACTTTGTGGCCTGCTCTCCAACCACAATTGTCCTCGCCTCCACTCTGCCCAGGCGATGCCACAGGGCCTTTGCCCGCGCCTCCTTCTCTTCCTAGATTATCCCTGGAACGTTTCCGCAACCCACATCAGGGAGCCACCTCTTCCCCCAGGACTCTGAATTCAAGACCGAGGCCCAGGATCAGCTGCAGTGTCCCCCCCGCAACACCCCCCGCTTACCTCCAACTGCTCCGCCCTCTCTGGGACGCCCTCGGAGCCCATGTTTTGGAAAGAAGCGGTGCTCTGTTGAAATAAATTCTTCAAAGCAATGATTTCTTTCGCGAAGGCAAGTCTTTCCTGGATTTCAGTCTGTATCAGTTCCTCACTGTTTTGAGCTTTCTGAAGAAGCCTGAAAGAAAGCATCAAAACTAACTATTTATAATTATAGCTTTATTTCAACAATTACAAAACTGTCTGAACAGCACAACAAAAAAGTGACTTCATTCCAGTTTTCAGTGATTTATACACCACACAGACGGACATATACCAAACTGTGTCATTCAATCAGAAACCTCTCCCAAGGCCTCACCTATGAGCTCCCCTTCCTGCACCCCACGTCCTCACGTCCTCCCGTCCTCCTGTCCTCCCGCCAGTGCTTGTCCTCATCCTATATGGTCCTTGTTCTCAGACAAAAATGGGTTCGAGCTGGGCCTGGAGTCACGGGTGGGCTCCTGGGGACACCCAGCCCCACGCGCCTTTCTCTCCTCAGCTGACCCAACGGCTGTGGAGGGAGCAGTACTAGGAGAAGCTGCTGAGTGGGGAAGGCACCCTTCTCGAGAGTGACGTATCTGCCAACTCTTTGTGATACCATGATATACTGATAAACACACACTGGCTCCGTTCCCACAGCCCGTGGCCAACACATCGCTTCTACCTGGCTATCCCGCTGTAGCCTTTATTATATCTTTTATTAGTAAACCAGTAAACATGTTTCCTCGAGTTCTAGCAGCTGCTCCAGCAAATTAACTGAAGCTGGGGAAGCCGTCGAAGGAACCGCTGGTAGCCAGTGAGTCACAAGTACAGTGACACCTGCCACATGCAATTGGTGTCTAAAGTGGGGACAGCGCTGTGGGTCTGAAATCTCAAAATGTGAGCTCTGAGCAATGTCCAGGTGTCGGAACTGAGCTGCAGCACATCCAGCCCGTGCCGGCTGGAAACACACGTCTGGCATCGGAAGTGTGTGTTCAGTAACCCTGAGAGAGTGAAGTCTTTTCTGTAAGAACATTTCTAGCCATAAAACTGTTATGGTCTGACCCAACATTTCTACTTCGTAACATCTTTTTCAATGAACTGCTCACAGACCCAGGGATTCTGGCATAAGAACATTTATTGCAGTGCTTTTATGAAAGTAATAGAATTGCATATAATTTTAAAATCCCTTCCTAAGACCTTGGTTGAATGAATGATGGCATATTCACATGGTGGATATACAGATGATGTTTTAAAATAATGATGATATTGGAAAACGAACATATGTTGATAAATTATTTAGCAGAAGAGAATAATACTATGCTTTCCATTTGCTTAAAAAGAAATTCTCAAGTAAAAAAGATGAGAATACAAAAATACAAATGAGAATAAAAGTAACTGGTAGCCACTGAGTAATTGGTAGTTACTGAGTGATGAGATTAAGTGTATTTTTTATATTACTCTTTTGTGATTTACTCCACTCTCTAATTTTCCTATAGAAAAACAGCAGGCATTAAAAAGAAATTTGGGCTGGGCATGGTGGCTCATGCCTGTAATCCCAGCACTCGGGAGGCTGAGACAGGAGGATTATCACAAGTTTGAGACCAGCCTGACTTACAAAGTGAGCTCAAGGCCAGCCTGAACTGCATAGCAAGACCCTGTCTCAAAAAGACAAATAAATAAATAAATAAATAAAAAAGAAAAAGAAAAAGAAAAAAAAATCTGAAGGGAATACCCACTGAGCAATATCAGAATAGAAAATCAATACTTGTTTGAATTCTTTTGGGGGGTGCTGGAAATCGAACTCAGGACCTTGCACTCGCCAGGCAGGCACTTGTGCCGCTGAGCTAGATCCCCAGCCCTTGCTTTAATTATAATTATTGACCCGTGTCCTCTCTTTTGGTACCTATCAGTCAGTGCTGACTCAATTCTGTAGTATACTTCGTCATTATTCTATATAATATTTTTAAAGTTTCTAAGTTAGGTTTTCATAAGCTCAAAGCCGGAACAGTCACACACATTTCCTCCCCAGCTCTCCCCAGCTCTTACTTGCTACACCGTTCTTGCATGGACGCGATCTCCTCAAGTGCCGGCACAGTTCCTGTGGCGTCAGAACCTTCTGGAACATCCCGGATGCCTTTCGTGCGCTGCGCCAGTAGAGTCAGCAAGAGCTGCTGCTTCTCCACACTCTCCTCATACTGGCACAGAGAGGCCAGCGCCTCAGACAGCGCCTCTGTGCTGGCAGCCTCTTTCGTTTTAGGAACTTCTGGGAATTCCTCTTGAAGATTTTCTAGAATAATCGCTTCTCGTTCAATCTAATTCAATACCAAGAAAAACAGAGCAGTAAGTAAAACACACTCTTCCCATTAGGAGGACCTGAAACGTCCCTGTGCAGCGTAAGTTTTGAATACGCTCTCTTTGAAGGGTTCCTAATACCGTGTCTCAGTTCAAAGTAGTATCTGCGCTCCTAAGCTGGGAATGGCGGCCCTCTGCCACCAGCTCCTAGCTGCGGCTCAAGTCAAAGTGCGAATGAATGAAGTACTGCTGCTGTGGGCTGCAGGAAATGTTGTTGAAGACTTAAAGTACTTTATTTCCGTTTCAGATTTCTGTTGGGTTATGCAGTAATCTCTTCTCTGGAGAGATCCATCCGTTATAGTTAAACAAGCCCCGCAAAACTGCTTCCCGTGTGAGAGGCTGGGCAACTGCTGGAAATAGAAAAATCTGGCCTCTTCTTGCCTTCCAATCTTGGCCTGCTTCATAGGTAAGTCTAGGAGACCCTGCTAACACGACGCCTACCAGAGGGGAAGCAGCTGGAATGACTGAACCAATTCTGCATTCATCAAATCACTGGTACCAACCAGAAACATGAAACTTATTTCAACACATATCTGGAAGCTAGCAGCTCTACAGCCCTGAACAAAGACACAGAAGAAGGTTCAAAGGGCTCTAATCAGATGGTTCTTAGGCTCCCACGCAAACCCTCTGGTGCTCCCTTCGGCTGCACTAATCCATCTCATTCTGCTCCTGTCGAGTTAACTCTCCTGCTCTGCTTCCCGCGCATCTGTGATCGCTCACACAACCTGATATGACGAGCACAGCCCTGCATATCCAGTAGGCGGGCCAGCAGCTCAGAAAGCAAGCCCACGGGAACGCAGGAGGCCTAGCACCTATCAAGCTTCCAGCGCCCAATGGTCTGAGGCACTCAAGGCCTCAGGCCTTTGTCTTCATTCATTCTGGTACTAGGGGTTGGACCCAGGGCCTCACACAGGCTAGGCAAGTACTCTACCACTGGGCCACATCTTCAGCCTATGTTTATTTTCACACCCTGGCTGGTCTCAATCATGTGACACTCCTGTCTCAGCCTCCCAAGTGGCTGAGATTACAGGAACGTGCCACCACGCCCTGCAAGGCTTCTGCTCTTTCGACTCTGTCATTAAGAAAGAGAGCAGTGGATGGGCCTTTGCGGATCTCCGCTGGGGACTGGGCTGTACAGGGTTAAGCAGCTGACCGTGAAGGGACCTCTGGCCGAGCTGAGCAAGATAACTGTGCTGCAGCCTGGAGCTGCTGACACTCCCTATTCTACAGCAGTAAAGCTGCCAGGCTCAGAGCTCAAACAGTTCTCTTAATTGGCAAGATTTACCGCCTTTGTTTCTCAAGGCCTTGGTCATTTTGGAGGGCTTCTGCGTCCAGTGCGCCCTCCTCTTTCTGCACCGCCCCAGTCTGCGGAAACCCCAGTAAATACAGTGATCCTCAGCTCCCACAGAGTTCTCACCTTCCTGGGTTCTCCCCAAACCATATTCCACTGTCCCTTTCCGTGTAAGCCTTCGCTGTAGCTCGTTTTAGGAGGCTGGGGGCCTGCTCAGTCCCCGACAGATCTCGGAGGTCATGCGTGTTACACAGGAGATTATTGCTTGGATCCATTAATCAGATCCGTTATGAACAAGGCTGCCAATGCTGAGTGGCAAAAAGTGGAAGAACTGAGCCCAAAGTGGAAAGAATGAGGCAGAGCAGCAGGGGCGGACCACGGTTACGGCGTCCACCGCTCATGCACAGGGACCCACGTAGGCCCCCACGCACTACACCACGCGGGTACCGGTGTGCACCCGGCTACGGAAGTTCTGCCTCCCGCCACCTCAAGCCTGAGTACAGCCAGCGGACGTCAAGGTCCTCGGGCAGGGCAGGCAGCTACACTGACCCCGGGAATGAGATGAGGTTCCCCGGATCACTGCGCCCCATAGATAAGGGAGCTGCCAGGCTGCCAGGGGCTTCCGATCCGCACTGGATTCCAAGAGCCACGTCTGCTGTCCAGGGCTGCGCAGAGCCCCTCTTGGGGCTTCTCTACCCGGTGACAACCACAAATGGGCCAACGCAGTGACCGGGACTCAATCACAGCCACAGGACTAAGTGCGCAGACCTCTCCCGTTTCTGTTCTCCTGGTCCCTACTCCTGTGTCTTAGTGTCACTTTCCAAAGTCAGCCACCTGTGGGCAGCCCCAGCCCCAGGCCCTGCTGCCTGCTGTCAGTGGTAAGCGACTGAGGAGAAAAACCCAAGGGGAGAACCTGTTAGTGCAGAGCTGGGCACGGGGCCCAGGGTGTCACGCGCGCCAGGCAAGCGCTCCGCCACGGTGCCGCGGCCCCAGCCCAAGAACAAGTCTTGTTAGGATAGCAATTTTACCCAAAAGCCAGGCAATCCTTCATCTTGTGAATGGATAAGCCGTGCTTGCCCCAGCCAGCAGAACCTACTCAGAAATAAACAAATAAACGACTGAGAAACAGTAGTGAGAACGAGTCTCAAGCACATTATTCTTACAGCAGAGAAGCCAAAGGCAACAGGCCCGATGAGCTCGCTTTATACAATGTTCTGGAAAAGGAAAAACTACAGGAAAAGATTGGATGAGCAGTCAGCAGGGCCTGGAGGTGACGGACACAAAGGGACGTGGGGGAGTTTGTAGGGAACATGAAAATGTCCTAAATCGTAGTGTTGATGGCGGTCATTGACTAAATGTATGTGTCAAAGCTCAACAAACTAAATTTTGCTGCTTTGGGGACAAAAACGGTTCTCAAAACAGTCAAATAAATGTCACAAAGATTATGCATGTACTTTGCCACCTTCAAAGGGCTCTGCAACTCCTTAATGATTTTCCTTGGACTTAGAATCCTAATAAAATGGGCCATGAAACATTTACGCTCACAGTAAATTATAAAGCAGAGTGGAAGGGAGAAGGGGCCAGGCATGGTGGTGCACAGGGGTAATCCTTCCTCTGGGAAGCAGAGGTAAGAGGGTCACATGTTCCACCCCAGCCTTGGCAACTTGAAGATTTAGCAAGACTCTGTCTCAAAATTTTGGAATAGCTGGGCGTGGTGGCACACACCTGTAATCCCAGCACTTAGGATGCTGAGGCAGGAGGATCAAGGTGAGTTCAAGGGCAGCCTAGGCTACATCAGCAAATCCAAGGCCAGTTTAAACTACACAGTGAGACCCTGTCTCAAAAATAAAATAAAATAAAGGGCTGGGGATGTAGCTCAGTGTGAAAGCCCTGGGTTTAATCTCCAGTACTGAGAAAGAGAGAAAGAGAGAAAGAGAGAAAGAGAGAAAGAGAGAAAGAGAGA